ATTTTTTTTTTGATACCTTCTAAGTAACAAATAATTCTGGCTTTACACAAAGCAGCTGTTACAGTCCGGCATTATTGCCGCAGAGGGCTTTCCAGAACACAACATCATCCAGCAAGGTGCTGCTTTGACCCGTGAGTACATGCAGGCACCGTTGATAGATCATTTTGCAACATAAATGCCAGACTTCTACTGTTAGCCTCCTGACTGTAGCAACAAAATATGAAATGATTGCTGCCTTGCTGTCCAGCTGTGCAGTATTTCTATGTCTGACAAGCTTTCAAACTCCATTATATTCTATTACTCAAACTGGACTTCCTGGATTGTATTTCAATGTCTTACCTGGTACCTGAAACAGCCCACACCAATACAGGACCTTTTGACCAGATATTCAGTGGAAAAAGTGGAAGTACTTGAAGAGTTTTTGATACTTGGCGCTAAAGACATATTTTAGCTGGCATCCAAAAGTACTGAAGTCCAATACTCAGCTCTAGTCATTACATAATGACGTACAACATAAATAACATTTATGACTTCCTGTTCTAATAGCAAATAAGTACTGCGTCTCCTAAATAAAAAATGAGAGCCACAATACTCTGCTTCAGCTTGAAATGTATTTGTATCCCACAGAGACCAAACAATAACAAAGCTAAATGCTGATGTTGTTATTGAATCCCCTGAAACTGTATGTCTTGAGAAATGAAACAATAAAGGGGAGAACACGAGACAGATTGCCTTTGACAAGAGAATCAAATTTTACACTGCTAAATTCAATGAGACCATTTAATGAGTGCTGATTGCAGCCCCTTTACCATTCTTCACTCTCTCTTTCTATCTATTATGTGTGTTGTATGTATTTTGTATCTCTCTTCCTGTCCTGTACACTGTTTTCCCCTGTCCCCTCTATGTCACCTCATTGCTCTCTTCTTCTGTCAGTCACACTGTCAGTTTCTCCCTATCCCTCTCTGCATTCTCTCCCTTTTTCTGTCTTTCACTTTCACTCTGTCTCCCTCTCCTCACCCTCCCTTCATTCCCCTGGCACTTGACTGTCCTCCACAGCAGTCACCGTGGTATTTAGTTCTATTTACAGTGGAGCTACCATTAAAAGCAGAGCGGTTACCTTGGGCTTTATTGTTTGCCTGAGACTTTCTTCCCTCACAATTTTCTGATGTAATTAGTTTCACTCCCACACCATCGTGCCATGGTCCTGAGCAGATGCTTTTAAAAGACACTTACATCTAATTTTGAGTTACAGCTTGTTTCCTGGTATCCACAAGTTGTTTACAATGCCTCTAATACCTAATACCTTTTCTAAATAAATAAACATTGGCAGGACTTACTAGAATTAACTACTGCCTGTAGAATATTTGTTAAACACAGAATGGAGGGATTTTTTTCCACTAGATAATAACAGCTCTCATTTTGAAGACAAACAGACATGAACTAATAATGACTGTATTTATAAAACTCAGTCATAGACAAGTACAAGAACATCTTTGTAACACAAAAAATGTTTTTGGACAAAATGGAAGCATATTACATTATTAAATTGCCTTTTGATTATGTTAAAGATGAATGGTTTTGGAATTGGTCTTAATTGATAGAAAAATGAAGCCTGTAACAGCAATTGTAGACAGACAGAACCTTAAAGCAGAATTAACCATTTTGGGCTTCTTTTGGACACTTGGGGCAGTTCAAACAAGCCAGAAAGACATTGACAAGACAACATTGACATATTATAATCATAAAAAGTTGTTGATGAACATGTTACCAAACAGCCTCCTTTGAGGTCAAGCAGACACGGAGGAACATTCATTTTGAGTCATGTTTCTGGCTTGATGAATGTTGGTCCAGTATTCACTTGTTTTTGGTCACCAACTCCTGAGATAAGGTCTTGTTATCTACTAAATTTGTTACGTTCACCAGCTATTCGCTAACATTGTCTGCAAATTTGTATTGGGCAGGAGGAGAGCTTTATTCACTTAAAACAGATGCCCGCCGGCCTGGGAAATTGAGACTAATGAGAGCAGTGAGACTGAAGGAAACAGTGAAGTTACGGCCTGAAAAATCTAAGCAATGAGCTGAAAGATACTGAGGAGACCTGCCAAATTGAGTGATAATTCTTGGCAGGTTTGTCACTACAAGCAACCCATTTTAACATTACACAGTCATTTGATCCATTCTTATTCAAAAATATTGATTAGCACAGCTATAACAATTGCCACAAACCCAAACAAAGACTGGAATTACAGTAAATCATCAAATCATAATTTGTGACGATGTGCCAGTTTGGCATAAAATTGACTCCAAGTAGATTAATACCCTGGATGGCTGGCATGGCAAACTTGCGAGTTTCCTGCAGAGCTACACAGAACGTGATGCAGCTGTTAAAGTCTTTGAAGCTGTGCCCTGCAAAGACACATGTAGGAAAAGATTTTTCTGTTTTTATTTTCGGGATTAATCGACCAGCAGAGTGACTGATACTAGCTGTTGGTTGCAGATAAGAAGTCTGGCAAGCGACTTTGATGTGGCTGACAACTTGCTGTTAGTAATGTGGAGATTGATTTTCTTTGCTTGGAGTACCCCTGTTTTAACTCAAGTCTTGATTCAAAACACTTTGTCACTCCACCACATGAGGAGGATAGTGACTGCCACAACCAATTAATCATATTGCTTTAACCAGGGGGAAATGTGTTACGGCAGGATGTATAGATAAGGTCCTCTCTCACTGGCTTTTCTGTAAGCTACATTTAGCCCGTAGCTCCATTGTGAATGCTAAATGCAAAAAGGATATGTTTAAAATACAATGAGAAATATTGCAGACCAAGTGATTTTTGTTGATGAAAATGTTTTCAGAATCAATTTTTTTGTGGAAATGATCAGGATATCTAGTTAGATATTTGCTGTGGGAATCAAGGCAGCATGCTGTGGAATTTGATGATGAATCAAGACTCAGAGCCAAGTAATTCCCCAGAGATGTCAGCATTTCTAGCAGTAGGACCCAATGGGCCAGTAAGATAGAAAAGGACAAAAGTGTATGTAACTGTGTGCATGTGTTTGTGTAAGCTGCTTTCTAAGCCCCCTGCTGCTTCTGATTCAGCCTATCGAAGCGTGTCAGGTTTCTAAGTGAAAGGGGTCGGGTAGCACCAGTCCACAGTGCTGAAAAGGAAGGAGAGAGCGCATGGGAAAAGGGGGCAGGTGGAAAAAAAGAGTAAACAATCTGTGGGTTCACGGAGGAACGGGAGGGAAAGGGACAGAAATGAGTAAAAGGTTGTGAAAAATTGTACTAATGCAACAGGGAAGATGAAGGACACACCTAAAGAGGGGCACATTTCCCCTGCGTGGTGTACGGCTATTACCCTGGTTTTAGGACTGAAGGAGAGGAATGAATGGCGTTCCAGCAGGGGCTGTCAGTAGTGTCCGCACCTCCATCCATCCAGATGCCCAGGGACTCCATTACACCCTGATGGGCAGGGATGGAAAACCAATCGAGGGGATATGGGGGCGAAGGGGGGAAGCAATGTATGGGTGCTGAGAACCACACAGACAGGCAATCTGCCATGATGAAGAGGCTACCTTCCCTGTTACTAGTCTCGGACCCAGCATGTCCTCCCGCATCCCCTTCAAGCCCCACTGCGCTCTACTGCAATGCCTGGCCTGCTGACCGACCCGACACCTGCCACACTTTTTCGCACTCTCGCTCTCGCCTGCTGTAAGCCCTGGCAGCATGTATCCGTTCACATCATCACACTGAAGCAGAGAAGTTCAGCAGATGCGTAGGTAGCTCCAGTTTGGATTTGTCGTTGTGCTCAGGTAACTTCGGAGGCTGAAAGGTTAGCTGAAGTGTACTTAACCTCCCTTCTGACAGCGGAGATGAGCCTGTGTTAGACATACCTGTTAGCACAGTAGGGGTGGTATGATAAATTCATTAGGGGCGGCTAAGGAATACAGCTCCATATAAAGCTATAACAAATCAACACTGTGAAAACATGGCAATCAATCTCATTGAGAATTGTATGCCTCACAATGGGGCTGGGATAGAAGAATTGTGTATTTATTGATTCTTACTGAAGGGTTGGCTGGCTTTCTTTTACTTACTCCTTGTGTCTGATCTTTGCTCTGACTCAAAACACATGCACCGTATTACGTATGTTGATGCTTTTTAATGTATTATTTTACCCAGTTTAGTGGTTAATATATTAAGTCTAATTTTAAGTGTGTTGTTCATTATTAAGCACATAAGTATATGATTTTGAACTGTGAAACATTTCCTATTGTTTTTGACTAGTCCAGCAGCCACAGTGACTATGAGGTTAAGATGCTGCCCCACAGCTTTAAAAGTGTTTGAGTGCACTGCAGGTTTGACTTATCTAGCTGAGTTGAATGAACAGTACATTTATATTGTTATGAATAAATAAATAAATAAAGCACCAAAACTCGCCCCCAAGATCATCACAATGCTCAGTTTGTTTGGTCAAACTGTGACATTTTGTGCATGAGCGTATAAAAGTGTCACCTGAAACACAGCTGAGCCGCTCCACAGTGAGCTGAGGTAAACAAATGTTTTGTAACAGTGGGTGAGGGGGTGTTATACTGAAGATTTCTCTAACAAGGGCTTGTTCATGTGGGTGGAACAAAAATAAGTTTTTAGAACCGTAATTGTACTATACATGAGCTTCAGCGCCTAAGTCACTGAAAAATATGTGTATTCTGAATATGCACATTACCACAGACCCCTGGGTTATCATTGCTTGCAATTTATCATAACAGATTAAACCAATTTCTACAGAGCTATTTTTTCTTCTGGCTGTCTGCTGGCATCATACTATTTTTATTCTGCAGTTCACACACACATTTTCTCTCCTTTTTATCTCTTTTACGGGTGTCCTGTCTGCAGACATCTGCTGCATTTTTAAACATGACCATTAATGCGAACTGTCAAAATCAACTGCGGATGATTAAAATGCAACAGATATGTGCCTGACATCAGCATCTCTGTGCAGGTGCCCTATGTCAAGGTGGCCCCAGAGGATATTCTGAAGGTTCAGTTTCCTCGGTTCACCACTCTGGACCTGAGGCCAACCAACACCGACATCAGCCTGGCTGTGGCCGGCCTTCTCACCTTCTTTAACAGCACCACCGCCTGCCTCATCTGTGCACAGGCTGACTGTGAGTACGGCATTTACACCCTCACAAATACAAACTACACAATGATTCACACCCGGGGAGAATGCTCACACGCCTTCCCTACATCTGCCAACAAAGTGCAAACATTTTTGTTTAATGTCTGGTATGCTTTAACACGTGTTAGCACACATAAGCTTCTCGCACACGCGCCGACTGTGTTCTGACAACAGATGCAGTGCTTATCAACATCTCACCCTGTGACACGCTCCCTTCTGAAGCAGCTGCTGCAACTCCTTCACAGTAGCATGCCCGACGTCGGCATCCCAAAATAAATCACATTTATTGCGGAATCCTTTCTCTTTTTCAAAGTCGTCATTATCCTTAAATTAAAATAATGATAGAGCATGTTACAGTGTCATCTATAATCTGTCTTCAACCTTCAATCTCAGTATGATTTTTGCAAGACACCCATACACCCTTAAAACACTGCCTGCTGATGATCAAAACACATTTTTAAAACAGACAAAAGAGAATGAGGATGGAGTTTGCAGCTGTATCCACCAGTGATCTGACCGCCTCCTTGTCAAAGGCACTCGTTAGATTCTAAAGATACTAAACTGAATGACCTTAAAAAAGCTTGAAAATCTCCTCAAGGGAAGTTATTTTCGTAAATAGAGAGGAAGATTAAATCATGGCCTGTTCCCACCCTCTTGTAGTCCAGCAAGCAGTAATTACAACTCCCTAGACAAAGGCACCATGACCCCGAATGGCACCCGCTAACCTTTTTCCTAATCAGCGCAAGGCTTTGAAGAAAGGAAATAGGCTTGAGACATCAACCATGTGTCAGGCAGCCCAGAGATGGCAATGAGCCACTGTGAACCGCCTACCCCGCCTATCTCAATTCTCAGTTCTTCTGCCTTTCAACTTTCTCTTTGACTGCCTCTTGGACTTTACTTTGGGAGTCTCCTTTCATTCATAACCTTTAAGACAAGATTTGTCCCTTAAAGTGCCATGTTTTATTTATGAAACCAAAATTTGTGTGTGCAAATTCAGTAAATTAATGCAAGAGTTTTTTCCCCCCTCTTCTATACAATTAGCCAGAGAGGTGATGGCATTTCATTATGCAGAAATTGGAACATTTTGCTGGAATTATTTATTATTAAGAATGAATTCAACTTGCTAAAGGAATATGCTGTGTATCTAATTGTAGTTTAACCCTACCCCACTACGTAACCCATTATAACCACAAGGGTCAGAAATATATCACTAGTTGTTTTTCCTTCTAGGTGTTCCTACACCTGTTAGCCTTTCTTCCAGTTCAGGGCTCAGATCCTGTTTCTGTGACATTTATTCCACAGAGAGTTGATTAATACAGTTCTGGCGGGAACAGTGATAACAAGTGAACCTTTTAGGCACCCTCTGACTTTAATATTGGCGAGTTTGGAGAAAAGAAACTCATTTTTAACATTACTTTTCTTCTTCCCTCTGGTTGTGTGTGTGTGTGCAGGTCGATGGGGAGGTTCTTATTCTGTGTCAGTGGGCTAAGAGAGGACTGGAAAGGAAATGAAATGAAATGAAAAGAAATGAAATGAGGAGAGAGGTAGATAGAAGATACCAAGGGGAGTCTGAAATGAAGGAGGAGAGGAGAGGAGAGGATGCTATTTGGCAGAGGTGGGAGAGGTGAAATGTAGTGATTGGGGTGAGGGAAGGGGAGGAGGCAACCCCATTGGAATTATACATTTGCTACAAGAGGGAGACAGTCCAGGAAATGACGTGGCTGTATTGATTGCACCCTCCCATGTGACCCTCATTCATTCAATAGAAAATGCAGCAAATGGCAGCATGCCTGGATTTGTGTGAGTTTGTATTTGTGTATGTGTGTGTAAAGGTCTGTGTTCAGCAATAGCATCAGCTGAAACCCATTCGACTTTGGCTCCAGCTTGCCCAGCCCCACCCCTCCCCTGTCATCTTACGCAGTTAGTTGGTCGGTTGGCAGCCTGCTGTCGGTGGCTCGTCCACATGTGCCGGAATCATTAATCACCCAAGCCAGTGACAGCCTAATAGAGCGTGGCCAATTCATGAATATTTTCCAGCCATGGCTGAGGAGGCAGGAGTGGAGGTGGAGCTGTGCCCAAAGGCATGGTGCACACCAGGACGGACATTAATCTAGCCAACCTCCTGTATCGATGGCAGTGTGTGCAGCAGCATCTGCAGTACTGTAACATTTGCCCAGAATACTGTCCATGTGGTTGAATCTATAGACCTGCTGGGTGGCCCCACATGTTGTGCAGCTATGGCCTTTTGTAAATGAAAAGAGAACACATAAAAATGCATGCACAAAAATTTGCCTGCAAGCACACACGTACACTGTGCAAAACACACAGATTCACATGCATGCTGTTCCCATACTCCCTGGCACTGTGCTACAGCAGTGCACTTTCATTAGTGAGGTGATTGGTGCAGCTGTCAGTAAGCTGAAATAGAACATCTAATAAGCTCTGAAATCTTACTGGAGCTGCAGTGCAGGTACAGGATCTCAACAAAACAGTAGGCCTCAAATGCTTGCAGAGCATTTTTTCCACCTTTGATAGGCACAGTTGGAGAGTAGGGTTTGCCATTTCAGCTCACTGCATTGTTCCACTGCAGCTACAGTGGGAAACAACACTTTCACTACTTGTTGTATCAGGTTTCCACTATAATCAGCTAATTTAGACAGAGTGCCTTAAGCTATGTAATTGCAACTTTTGCCTAGTGATGATAACTTGTCCATGTCATCTCACAAATTACAATTCTCCATTAATCACAGAGTTTAGGACTGACCTACTGTCTCTCCATGTTTCACACTCTATGTGGCAATGCCATCACTAACCTATAATTAATGTTAGTCAGGTGGAAGAGACGCATCAATGACTTGTGAGCAGGAATGTATACATAGGTGTAAGAATGACGGGAACATAGTAATTGCAGGGGATGGTCTTTATGACTTTGATAATAGTAATTATACTTACTAATAATCCTCACGTGGAAGACAGAAGTAAGTAGTCAATGTGATGGTGGTGCTGCTAGTAGTGGCAGCACTTTGTAGTTTTAAAAGCTTCTCATTGAAAAGGTGGAAGGTATGTCTTTAAACTGTCTTCCTGCTTTTTTTAAGAAATTAGTTGACTCACCTTTAATAAGATTTTGGATTTGTGGAGAGTTGCTGGAGTTTGTGCGTGTAGGTGCAAGCCTTTACTTTAAAAGTCAAATGGGATTTATGTAACCATAAAAATGGTGATGGCCATGTGGTCTTTGTCTGTGACATTCTGGGTTTGAATCCATGGGGAGCTTTGGTGCATTTTATGCCTTCCTTTCTCCTCTCATAGTTGATTTCACTGTTACCTATACTTTAAAGACAAACATAAAAAAGCAAGACCTTTGAAATAGAAGCATCCCTTGTGAATCATTCTATGGAGGGCATTTTTACAACAAAAGAGGTTCACTTGAACTCTACTATCTTTGCCTTTTTGCCATTTTCTCTAGGCATCCATCTCGGTCCCTTTTTTTGCAATTTAGCACTTCCGCTCCTCATGCAGTAATATCACACTCAAGCTGAGAAACCCACAAATGAAGCTTGCTGCAGGATAAGTCATTTGCAGCTTCCAGTGGGCTGTATAAAGAATTAATGCAAACGCTGTTTGCAGAGAGACCTGGTATGATCAGCAGGAGCAGATCAGATCGGCACCACCTCTGTGTGACAGGTAGATTATAGTCAGTATTGATAGTTCTACTTTTATGGTTATTTGGGTTAATGGCAAGGGTAATATGCTTGGACATACATTGAACACTTTGACACATGATCTTGTCTACAGCATTTTAAAGTGATGGCCGCAATGGTAGCAAAGTCATAAAACTAGGCCTTACTTGCTCAAGGCTAAATGATGAGTCATCATAATACAGCTGTCATCACCTACACCTGTCAAGCAATTCATATTCAGGTGCTGTTTTATATTAACAGGTTAATGTTTTTACACTGCGGTTGTCTCTGTGTGCTGACAGTATTTGATTTGGGTTACTTTGTGTGTCTGGGAGTGTGTGTGTGTGCGTGTTTGTGTGTAATCTTGTGGGCACCCTGTGGTGACAGTATGTGAAAGGTAAATGAGTGGTTGCCTGGCTTGAATGTCAGCCCTCACCTTTATCTGTGTGCCTGAGAGAGAGTCAAAGCCATGTGTCGTCCATGCCAATGAGGGAGTATAGTCTCACAAGCAAGTTTGTGCTATTCTTGTGAGGGCTCTCTTTGATGTAATGTATTCCCTAGATTCAAACACTAAGTTTCATCATCACAACTACATTCTCAAGCGTAACTCTGACACTTATCTCAAAGTTCTAATCATTCTTTAATCATCATATTGAATAACTTCACATTTGGCCTCAGGGGTGTGGTTGGGTGTGGTCAGAAGTGTGCTTTGTTGCACTTGTAACCACCCCCAACAGTGATGATGACAGAGCACTGGACTACATCACTACAGGTCAGGAAAAACAACAGGGTATGTTAAAGGTTACCTGTGGAGTTTAGTAGCGCTATGGAGCAGGTTTTTTTTTATTAAATTGGCCCTGTTCTTTTTTTGTCTAGTGCACACACAAGTGGAAACACATGTAAGTGATGCCAATGATTTTACACTTTTCCACTGATCTTGACGTAGCAGTAATGTGCAGCACAGGCAGAGAAGGAAAATACTGCAAGATAACATTGAATAAATAATGTAGGATGTAAATACTGCAAAGGATTTATGGGGAAGGTATTTAGACATCAAGGATATACACACTGTGTTTTGAGTCACACTGAATGTAAAAATAACTTTGGTTTGTTAACAAAACTACACAGGGAAGCTTTGAGATACATCCTGTGGTTCGCCAATGGAACAAAACCTTTGGATTTGCAGTAACTTACCACAGCTCTGATACAGCTATAGAGGAGACGCTTGTTTTTCTGTGAGTAACTGTTAAAGGGGCTAAACTAGATGTAGCACTAGACTTTGATCTGCTGAACAAAATCCATGCAATGTAATTATTATCCTGCTAGCTACCCTGCTAATGCAACTACCTAAAACATCAAGTAAAATATACTTTTGATGGTTTCAGTTAAATGTTTGGGACACTGCTAGCAAACAGCTGGACTTACAAGCGAGTGCAGCCTGACCAGCTACCAAAGCAAAGAACAGAGAAGATTACAACACACACACAGAGGGATTGATTACTCCACCGTATCTTTACAAAGCAAATAGTTGTTTGCTGCTATATTAATGTTTAAAATCTCATATACTGTATATAACCATAAATTATTGTACAGTTGTGTGAAAAAGTGAGGACTAGCCAAAATATCCTCACTTTTCAAGAATGTTGCAGTCAGGGTCTAAATCTTCCCAATAAAGACAGCGGTACAAGCACACACACACACATACACACAGGCTTCTTCAAATTCTCTGGGAAAGAGACTTTACAGGACAACAAACATATGCACACACACTATCTCACAGACTTTGTTTTCTCTCAGAACAGCAGGACCAATACAATTCTGACTAAAGAAGAGAACATTTTTCATTCAGCTGTATGTTTTTCATTTGATTGAAACTGGTTCAGAGCAAACAGTGAGAGAATAACATGGCTGCTGTAAAGCACCCTAGTGGAAAAAAAAACATTCTGACTCCCCTTTGAATCCCGTGCAGCCTGAACACTAAAGAGAATATGAGCTTTTCTTCTGCGTGTCACTCTATTTGTGCGTGAATGTGTGTATGCTCTTTAGCCAGCCACATCTAGTACAGTTTATCATCTAATGTCATGAACTTGACATGAAATTGCATTTGATGCCTTGCGTGAAGCTATACAGACTGAATGCAGGAGGCAGACAAGGAGGGTGGTTTAGCAGAAGCTATTTCAAGCTCATCAAATTTATTCTGCGTTATACTACAGAGGAAGCTGATCCGACAGGATCGAGACACAGGCAGTGGAGCAGGCGGCAGTCACGAGTGATGTCTCATGAGTGCACATACACAGGTAGCCAGGTACAGGAAGACAAACACACACTGTGATATACTGCCATACAGACAGGCTGAAAGACAGGCAGACACTGAGACATAATTGCAGAAGCTATTAGACATGATGCTGGAGACTTAGACAGTGCTGTAGCTTATGTTAATGTGCTGTGGAGAAGGTAAAGGAGTCAGCTTGATAACTTAAAATTGCCACACCAAAATTGCTCTCTGTGTGACAGATGAACTACTCTGCTGTCCCCATGGCAAAAATCACATAAAATATCTGTTGATGACAGAGTCTAGAGTGCTGTTTTATTATTACCTTATAATGGAAAAAGCAGGTGGAGGCTCACTTAATGAAAGTCCTTCTGCACAAAGTTACGCCCTTCTGACTCTCCTTGCCATTATCAAGAAATGTTATATGAGTGTGATGAGATCTGCCAAATTGCCAAGGTGATGTCAACATGCTGTGTTGTATTACTCTCAGAATCCTTCAGGTTGTATTTATCCGCACTGTAACACACTTCACAAATTAGTTTAAACTCCTATATGGAAAATTAGCCCAATAATCTCTCTGGGTCTGCTAGTATATGGATGCAAAGTGGTAAAATGCTGCCCGGAGCGCTTTGATTAAGTCGGCTATGCTTTAATTAGGGCAAATCCCCTTACCTCACTGGAGACAAATGGTCTATTACTGTGGGATGAAGTACAAGAGAAGATGCTGAAATGTCCCTTCGTGTTTGATGGCTTTACAATAATTGTGATTAAAGGTAATCAGTCCACTTGTTCTGCATGGAAAGGTTTTTTTATGGATTCATTGTTGTGGCAAAAAAACAAACAAGAGGCACATTTCTTTGTTCTTGAGGATTGTCTAAGTTTATTAAGTTCATACTGCATCACAGAATAAACCATCACTCTATGAATAGCTTGACCTTCCCTAACTTTTTGGCTATTAATTTCTTTAACTGTAAAGCTCAATCTCTTTGGTGGAGTCTTCCCTTCATTACAAGTAACCCTCTTATATGTTTTGTGTGTGTGTGTGTGTCTTACCGACAGGCTTATTGAACCTGGAGCAGCTCCTCAGGCAGTTCCTCATCTCCAAGGAGACTCTGTCAGTGCGCATGCTTGATGACAGCCAAGACCCGACCCCGCTCTTGAAGGAGATACGAGATGACAAGACTGCCACTATTATAGTCGATGCCAACGCCACCATGTCACATATCATTTTAGAACGGGTTAGTATGGTTCACGTAGCTGTGTTATTTATACAGATAACTTGTCTTTATTCCACGTCCGCTGTCTTAGCTTTACGTTGAGAAAAATCTTCCCAAGATCCACATTTATATAATTCTCATACATTTAAAAGGGAGAAGTAACTTAAAATGCTGATGGCAAGGAGTGTTCAAGACTAAAAGTGGTTTAGTAGTTGTACATGTGGGGAAGAAGAAGTAGTTGGTTAGTTTTCACTTTTGACCTGTAGAGATAGAGGTTGCATTCCCCACACGAACATATAAAAAGGGAAATATCTTTCATACAGCCATAATACGATTGCCGTCTTGAATTGCAAGACAGATTGCAAGAATTTATGCACTTTTGGCACTGGGCACAGCTTTTAAAAGACAGGGTTACAGAGCCTAGAGTCAAAAACATAGTCCCAAAATAAAAGGCAAATGAATTAACGCAATCTTATTTAACAAACCTGTTACATCAAATTATATGGATGAAAGCATTAAATCAAGTTGTATTCCAATGATTCATCTTCCATAAGTGAGAATTCTGCACAGTTAAGTGGATTAGTTAGAGTAAAAACAGACTAAATAAAATGAAGGAGCCCTTTTGTCTACTTTCAGATACACTGCATGTTATGGATTAAAACAAGCTGTTCTCTTAGTCAGTGAAGCAAATTAAGTGGACTGATTCATTAATGTCCTTCTTATCAATTATTCATCTGTTGGTTTCCTCTCTGAAAAACAATTGTATATAAAAATATAACTATCAAAAGGGTGTGATAAAAACAACTTTCTGACATCATTATTGAGCACTATTCTGTCAATAGCATGACACTATGACCTTCATGTGTTTCCCTATTAACAGCACATACCAATAATTAACGTCTCAGAACATTATTAAGACCTGGGACACTTTGACTCCAACATAATGTCGAAGCTTCAACTGATTGGAGACTCGTGTTTGTTAAGAGCCTTGATGGCATCAATAAAGGTGATTGTGTGAGCCGAGGAAGCGATGGTGTTTGGCAGCAGCATATGGCCTCTTAGTAATTAATACGCACCTCATTATTTCTAGAAGACGATGGATGGATGGCTAGAGTGGAGGTGACACCAACTGGAGACAGAAGGGGGGTTGGGAGGGAAAGAGAAGGACAAGGAGGGATGCTTCTCTTGCTTTCCACCTCCTCTTCCTCCCCCATTCTCTCCATTAAAGTCTCTCTTACTGTCACACAGTAGTCTTCAGTCTCAATCTTTCACCTCAGTCAAGTGTTGCTGCCATCAGTGGTCATCCAGTCACCATGGCAACCCTGGCAACCCTGGGCCACAGAGCAGCGGGAGCCCGCAGTGGGATGTCTCTCTTTCTCTCTTTGTCTGTTCCCGGTGTCCCTCCGTCTGTCTCTTCAGTTTCAGTGTGGAGTTTCTCGCTCTTTGTTCAACGCCAAAATGCGGAGACACTTTCACTTTGTTACTTCACACCTCCCTTCCCCTGTGGTCTTGTATACCCATCCATCTATCTCTTACTCTTTTGTCTCCTTTATGTGTCACACTGTCTGTCTCTCTGTCTGTCAAGAGACAATCCTGCAGCCGGGTGGTGGAAAGTTGGCAGTCCCGCCTCTCATGTGGAGTGCCTAGTTGCCAAACATATCAAAGCTGTGCGGCGGCATATTTGCCAGTCTCAGACGATGATAAGAGTGCCCAGCTTGTCCAAAAGGAGAGAATCATCCTTTGTCATGCAAGACGCTCCCCTCTTATTTGTCTGTTTACATCTTACATCAAACCCTCGTCAGACAAAGGTCTCACTCTCAGAGGTTTTAGCATTCAGAGGGGTTTAGGTCAGCAGTGTTAGCGTTCTGAATGTAATCTTGTTCAGTCAGGCCTCCACTGTTGTGAGCAGCTGTACAGAACCAGAGTGGGATAGATAGTGAGCCCAGAATATGGTGGCAGTGCAAACGTGTGCACTCTGACCAAATGCTGCGGTAGAACAACAAGGAGATCAATAAGTGTGGGAAAAAAAGGCAAGGAAGCTTATTTCCAATGCAGCGAAAGGAGACCAAAAGGATATTTTTCATCAGCTGCTTGTTTTGGTTGTATTGTGTCTTCTGAATGGGATGTGGGCAGCAACCAAAAGGCGATTTAGGTTATAATGTCAGTTTCTGTTAGGTAAGGTATTAAAGGCATAGGTCGCCCAAGGAAAAGTTGCAATGTTTTGAAATATTGCTTGTCACATGGAGGTACTTTTAAAGGCGATAAATCTCAACCACCTTGTGCCATCAGCTAGCTTTACCTGCTGTGTGTAACTCCCAGGCAGGTGCTAACAAAAAGCTTCCCTGAAGCATAATAATGACTTTATATAGTCATCATGCTTAAAGTAGTTTTAGACTAGGCTTCCATTAATAATGGAAGTTGTATTTGGATGTTTTTGCTATAATAATTACTTTCTACTCTTTTATTATTTATGCTGCTGCAGAACACTTACACTGAATATTCAGCAACTGAGTGACACACACGCCTAATGGCACACAAACACCCACACAGATGTAACATATTGTGCAGACGTGACAGCTAAATGTCTGTTATTAAACTCCTTCTGATGATACAGAACCTTAGACGTTAGTGTGGAAGCCATTTATTATGGAAATGTGGAAATTTTGGTACATCCAGGTGTGGAAAAAATACTCTCTGAGTAGCATATCAGAAGGTGCATGTGAGGGTTAACTCATGCTCAGAGAAGAATTTATAAATGTATAAATGAGTGATGAATGATTTAAAAAAAACAAAAATATTCTTGAAAAAAGAGAATGTTCTTTCAGACTGTTACACTGTTCTAACTATATGTGTCTACTTGATATTTATTGATTTGAATCATTATGTGCATTGCAGCATGATTAAACAGAAGCCTATAGCTCGATGATTTTCTTTTTTGCTAATGACTTAAATGGAAATGAAACTATGAAAAGTTCACCCTGTCCTTCACAACAGCTCCTCACTGTGACTTTGATTTAATCAAATTGTAAGACAGTATGGAGCAGCATACTAATGCACCTCCAAAATTAATTGCTCCATTGAGAGCCATCGTCAGATAAAAATGTGTCTCGTCTTATCAAGATGTGGATTTGATCTGTCTGCTACAGAGCGGAGCGTCAGTTACACTGAATCACTGACCTCTCAACTTCTCTCCCCAACCCTTTATTCTTGACTCTCTGCTACCTGTTTTGTCCCCCTCCCTCCTGTTTTTGTGACCTCCATCTTTTTGTTCAAACGTTCTTCCTTCTTTTACGCTTTTCTTCTTCTTTCCCCTCCTGCCCCTCTTGTCTTTTGCTCTGCAGGCATCAGAGCTGGGAATGCTGTCAGTGTACTACACTTACATCTTCACCTCTCTGGTAAGGAAATGGGAGCTACTGTGGGCATTCTGAAGCAATGTAGATTTCACACCTACAGGAGCACATCAGTGCTCTAATACTTTGTCCTGTATTAAAATAGTGCACTTAATTGGTACTTTTCACTTGAATGAATGATTGAACGGATAGAGTAAAGCAGACAGAGGACTTATATCTTCATTATAGCATAGTCGATTTTCTCCCTCACTGCATGTGAGTGCAGATTAGAGACATGCAGAGTGTAGTGGCTGTAGAGGCTCCAATTGCAGCTTGTTTGCCCTCATTGGTTTAAGTGCACTTCTGGACCAAACAAATAAATAATAATGATTATTATAATTGCTACTAGTTCTATCGTTGTTGCCCCTGCAGATTTTTTTTTAGAATTATGATTGTGGAAAGCCTGCCAAGCTCCCATTGAATGAGTGATGAAGTCATCGTCTTCAGTCAACATTCATTTCTGTCAGTGAATGAGCAGAGGAGGAACTCCGCACATCCTTCTTCTTTCTTTCTTTCTTTCTTTCTTTCTTTATTCTTTATTCTGTTCTGTCTTTCCTGCTGCTTGAATTAACTCAACATACATTCTTTGAAATTATTTTGCAGGTGATTTACTCAGTTATGGGTAGTTTGCATGCTGTCCTGCAAACTAAGCTTATATTATATAATGTTTTGTTCTCAATTGCTTCACCTTGTTCAGTTAATCAGCGAAAAAAGCACCAAATGCCGTTTTGTTGCAACTATTTCTTTCATCAGTTGTATGTGTCTTTTTAACAAGGTATTCCCATAATATATTTTATACTGATTTCATCACATTGCTTTACATATCACAGTTGCTTAATGCTACATGTTATATGTTATGGCTATAGTTAGTTTAACTTAATGTAGCTTTGCAAAGGATGCTTCATACTGGATGTTGCATTTTGTTTACAATGACAATGTCCTCAAAAGAGGTGACAGAGGCAAATAGTGAAACAGCTGAGAGAGGCAGCTACAGAAAGTGCTGCTTTGCAAAGTTGCTTTCAAAGCAGTTGCTGGCCAACAGCTGAATCATTATGAATGAAATATCTAACAGCCACTTCTTAAATTCTTTATCTCCAGTAGGTATACAGAGAAGTTACCTCTGCAACTTTTGTTAAAGTTGAAAGCGTTTTTATGGACTCTAAAGCTGTCATTTGGTTCAAAGATCCCCTTTAGACATGTATTAAGAGATGTATACATATGCACAGAAAAACAATTTCACTTTCAGTAGATGAATGGGAAAACATCATTCTAGTATCAAACTCTAAACATACATCATTCTGCACATTGAAGCTTAAACATCCAACTGTAGGATCAAGAAGAGGGGAGGGGGATTTCTGTTTATGTCCCTGCTGGATATAAAAAGGGATTGACCCCGAATTTGAGAGTAATGGTGTTTAGGCACATAGGGGCTAAGGGATCTGTAAGAGTTATTGTAAGATCATAGAGATAGCGACTTGTAGAAAATTTGATGCTATAGTAAACTTACCAGATAGCTTCTCCCTAATGGAAATTAATGAGGTTCGAAACACTTTGCTCTAATAGCGCTGTAAAGATGATTCATATCAAGCTGATTTATGACTCATTAAGAGTGGGCCGCTGCCATCTTCATGTTTTCCTCCACAGCCCTTGACATAGTCACTTCTTCTATTGTAGCTCTCTTCTCCTTTCCTTTAACCCGCCTTTCTTTGCTTCCCTTCGTGTCTACACCTAAATAAGCTCCCTCATCGCTCTCCTCCGGTGTTGCTGTGCAGGTTGGCTAGAGGGCACAGCATAGCACACAGATTCATGGCAGATACTAGATGATGACCCCACATCCTCCCTCCTGCTACTAACGCCACCATTTTCTTAAAATCCAGCCATTGCTCAATGACGGCATCGTTAATAGCTTCGGCTAACATCATTAAAATGGTCAGCTGTGTGCCCCAGGCAGCCTGGGACGTAATGCAGAAGCTGTGAGTGGAAAAATGGACATGTTGTTGTCTCCTTAGTCGTCTTAGTAAGTGATTCATCCTATTTATTGTGTTTTTTAATGGTTCTGCTGCTGGTGCATCATGCTCACCACACACAGATATGCATAAATACACCCTGGCACAAAAGAGGATTGGAAGTTTCATCATGTACTCTCACGGTTCAGTTCATTGTTCTCCCATTTTCTAAACTCAATGTGATAGTACATCTCTGAAAATGGCGATAATACATTGAATGCTTGGGTCACTTTTTGATCCTCTTATTAAAGTACATTATGCCATTTCATGAAACTGTCCTGTCCAGACAAATGACAGCATCGGTCATTTGTTCAAAGAGCTTAAAACAACTTAGAACATTCAGTGCCAAAGCAGAATGTAATGTGATGTTCTCATAGCCAAGTAAAGGTATTTTGTACAGGGTGATGAGTTTTTGACAGACTAGAGTTTAATTGATACTGGAGTTCACATCCCAGTTAAAGTGGGTTTCCTTTAACTATAACAGTGATCTTCCCATAACCTTCACCAAGTGGCCAAACCTCTACCGTACCTTAACCACAACTGACTATTTTCTAAGCCCCACCTCTTTACTTACTCTTACTGTCAAGCTTTCATTACATTTTTGTATGGTACACGTGGAGTTTACAGCGATAACACGGGCAGATTTATGTTAGCTAGTTAGGTCATTAAGCTAACAAATGTCCCTGGCAGACACTCATCACTAGTAGTTCTACGTTTAAGACATGGAAATACAGAAAGCTTTATTATTGTAGAGCTAGCTAGTTCAACACAGCAATAGTATTATAAGTATATGGAAAAATATAATCTCAGACTGGTATTTTGTAACATAACCCTGTTTGGCTGCTTATCTTGGGATTGGACAAGCAAGACTGAGGTTAGAATTATGCTTAACTGTTTGTATTTGCAAACTGTATGTTTCATTTTGACAAAAGTAAAAAAGGCTTTAAGAGTGTAAACTCATCCCAATCTATCTAAAAGCAGGACACAGCCACTAATATCAGCCTACACTCTGATATAGTAGCATCCAGGAGTGGCTTCCAGACAGTGTGGGAATACCATGCAGCGTTGTGAACAGTGCTTTTTTAACTTAACTTGGAACCCCACAAAACACTGTAGTGAGAAATGTGCCTCGTTACGTTTGCTAAGTAATGATTTGTTGTTTCGGGGGGGTGTTTAGCAAACTGTCAATGTAGAGCCAAAGTGAAAACCTTCTGTTCCAGAGGTAAGAAAACCTCATTAAAAATCCCATTTACATTTGTAACAACATTAAGACCTAAAGATCCAGTCTTGGAACACAGCTTTTCTCAACAGCATGTTGTGTGGCTCACTTCATATATTTAGATAAGGAAGGTTGTTTTTTTGAAAAACAATTTATTGTCATTGTTTATTCCATATTTATATTTATAACATTTTTATATTTTTTTAGTATTGGGAAACACCATTTCCCATTAGCCCTACATGTTCACAGGCGAACCCTGACAGGACCCAGCGTAAACATCACACCCTGACAAAAGAAGCTACTCCATGATGAGCTGACAGGTCGCAATTAGTTCAGACATGACTGTAATAACAGCAGGACAGAGAGGAGGGAATGGTGTAGAGGTTCTAACACTGCAGAGACTATAGGTAGGAAGTTGAAAAATTGACTTAGAGAGGTGAGTTTTATGGAAGTTGAGATGACATAAGTACCTGCGCTGTTACGCTTGCAGTTTTTTCACGAGAGCAGTATAGTTTTTTAATGCTGAAAAAGAGATTGTATTGAGTGGAAGAGAGGCTAACCCAGACTTGACGTCATGACTTTGGCTCTGTAACTGCAGTCTATATTTAGCTGCCTAAATATAACCTTAGGGACAGTATATCAGAAAAAGGGTCTTTTTCCATTTTTGGAAAGCTTATATTGAATCTTTTTTTGAATGCACTGACAAATTATCTTTTTTTTCATTTAGGACTTGTTCAATTTTATTCTTTGAGGATATAACTGGATTTAAGTAATACTTTTTAAAAGAAATCTCAACACCTTTCCTTTGCCTCCAGGCTGAGAGGCCTCTTTTTGGTAGAATGGATTCTTGAGTCACAGACATACAGGAAGCAAGATGGATGATAAAGATGATTGTACAGTCACTAATCTTTCTATGGGTGTGCGTTGGTTCATGAATGTGTGCATGAATGTGTTCCAGTACAGATATTTCCTTTATCTCAGCGAGCAAATAACATTTCTGAAGTCTATTTAAAGGTTACGCTTATCACTTATTCCCTCACCTTTTCACCCTGAAAAAGCTTTTACATTAGGCGACCTGTGACCGGATACATTTACTTCTTCTTAACAGCGTTTTTAATGAACATGATTATTTTTCAAGGAAAAAAAACTGTGGGGCAAAATTGTGCAACACTTTTGAAAATTATGGATTTAAATATGTCTGTGATGTTCAGAAGAATGCAGATGCATGTGAAATGAGCAACTACATATATGTGTTTATCTTGCTCTTAAAATACAAACACTTATATTAAAGAAAGGCAGCTATGATTTGATGCAATTACTTGATGTGTTTTCTCAGTGTGGTGTATGTAGGAGCCAGTAATCTTCTGTAAGATGATTGTTTGTGCTTTGAGTCAGTTTGACTTCATTAAGCTCTACAGACTTTCTGCATGAAGCCAGCTTTCCATTGCCATGGAAATTAAACTGATTTTCAGGTAGCAACTTTTTCTTTTAATGATAGCAATTACAAGGTTTTCTTTTTCTACAGCAGTTTAGTGTATAAAGGAGCTATATGTAAGAACTGGAAACCTGTCAAATTCATACTTCAAACAAATTAGGGGCAGCATATCACCAGAAAGTTGGGGATTACACCCCTACTGTAAGAAACAGGGAATGCTCAGTGCCTCCCATAGGTCCTTCTTTCATTCAACAAATTGCTAACTTGCAAACACATTAACGTACAATTAGCAACCTATATAAGCTATTGCTAAATAGCGGACATTAGCATTTTTAGTTGTTTACTT